CCCCCACTCCTATTTCTGTTTACCTCACACTTATTTTTTCACCATATACATTTTTTTGTATCTTTGTTCCATAAGTAGATTAGGAAACAAAGATGGCTGTCTAGCTGGAGCTGAGGTGAAACACGCTGCAAACAATTTAGTTATTTTGAAGGAATCCTGGAACTGAGAGTGTAACTAAAGGGCGTGTTAACTGCGCAAATACTTTTCTTGCAGAAGGTAAAGTTAATTTTTGGAGTAATCAACTTAAAAACTTGTATCCCGCATGAGGGTAATTGAGTACATACAACTTAAAATTCCTTTTAAATCATTTAGTAAAACTAGTCGGAAAAACTTAATCTTTTGAGTAATCGACTTCAAAACTTGTGTTTATGCTACCAATTATTAAGTAAGTGGTAATTAAAAACACCTCTGATTGTAGAGAAAAAAAAGCCTTCTCCCCTAACTCAAATAAGTTTGTTGATTTAAGACAATTTCATTAGAAGTTGTCTTAACTCAATAAACATCGATCCAAACTGTTGCGTTGATGAAAAAGGAAAGGAAAATGTCAACGTTTCAGCCAGAAAGAAAAACTGAAACAGGCCGGCTCAATGAATCCGCCTGAGGCAAATAAACCTGAGGAGGGAGGGGAAGGCCTCTCTGAAATATTAAAAGAAATCAGAGAATTCCGCATGGAAACTGCTGGGAATTTTGGAGCATTGAAGGAGGACATAAACGACTGGAGAGAAGGCTTCGGAGAGCTGAAAATAAGAGCGGGTGCAGCAGAATTAAGAATCGCAGAAAAATAAAGACCGTGAAATCGGTATGACAAAAGTAGTTTAGTTTACGCACGCTCAGGGCAAAAAGCAGAATGTTACCAGTATAATATTTTCAACAGTTGTTTGTTTTGGATCAGACAAGGAAGACCAGAGGACATTACATTTTAAGCATCCTTATGCAAGGACTACTCTAAAGCAAATGTGTATTTCGGTGGTTGGTGTAAAATTGTGGAATTCTCAACAAAAGGATTTAAAGAATTGTATTATGTATTTTCGAGTTAAAGAAATTGTATAAATTAAGAAAGATGGGACTATGTGAAGCAGAATGGGAATAAGTCTATGTACCCATTGGCCTCCATTGGTAAATATGTTTGATGTCTTTGATGTGATGTCTGTTCTTTATTTGTAGGTATTATTATTATTATTATTATTATTATTATTATTATTATTATGTGCCGCTTTCCACCTCCTATCCAGTAGGACTCAGATGAGGGTGTTGCACTTTTCCTTGTACATGTGATGTTTTGGTGTTGTTGGTTTTTTGTTTTGTTTCTTTCCGTTTACCGTCAAGTGGGAAATAAGTTTTTTTTTTTGTTTCTCTTATTATCCTAAGATACTGTTATGTTTGGCTGTGAATAAGTTTGGCTGTGAAAAATAAATATGAAGGACAGACCATCTATTTCTATTTATTAGTTGTTTTTTAAAGGGGCAGGTAATATAAGATTGTTTTCTTCTTCCTGCTCCTTTTCGGTCAATGGTGTGTTAATAGAGACAAGTTTTGTTAACGATTATTATACATTAAGATTTGCATACCATTAACGGAACAAAACAAAAAAGAAATAATTGCTTTTCCCCCTTTTGTTAGCTGGTTTCAAAAACAGAGAAACAAAAAAACACCGTTCTCCAACCAGCGCCATCCAACCCAACTCTCAGGAGAAGACAAACACATATAAAAAACTATATTAAACACACAAACAATCAGTACATAAAATGAAATAAGATTAAAAAGAGAAGGGAGCACGATACAATTAGCTTTCTTCAAAGACGGATGCATTAAAAATCATTTAAAAAGGCTGATGAACCTGATTGACAGAGAGCTGTGACACCGTGAAAGTGGTAAAGTTGGGATCTAATGAGGGTATATACATATGAGATTTGCAAATATACCTTCATGTTCTTACCAAGTTCACTACATTTTCTTTTGATGTTGCTTTAATTGGTCCCTTATCCATCTGTGCCCTCTCTTTCATCCATCTGTACATCATATGCTCTCGCTGAGTATGACCTATTTGCCCTTTTAACATCTGAACTCCTCTCCATTATTACTTCTTCTCAAATTCAATATTCTTTTGGCATGGCTTGACAAATATTGAATTCTATTGTATAACACATGTACAAAATCCACAATGGAGTCCCGAATACATTAAGTAAATCAAATATTGAGGTTTTATCCCAGAGAATATTACACTTGATCTATGTCCACCAGCTTTTATTCCCTTCTTACTTCTTCACTGTTCTCTCCCCTTTCACCCTCCTCTCCCTTTCTTTCTCCCCCTCTACTCTCTCTATCTCCCTCTCCTTATCTGTACTCCCACACCTCACATAGCACTACGGTGTATCGCATTGTAAAACATGGAGCCATTTATAGGCTGGAGGTTATTGGTTGAGAAGGGGGCGGGGAAGGGAGTGAGGGAGATAGAGGGGGAGGGATTTTCACACAAGGAGCAAATGTACAGTATCTTAGCAGAGAGGGCGCTGTCAAGGAGAGCATTAATTGTTTCAGCAAATTACCCAATGTATACATTCATATTTCTTTCATGTCCCTAATAATTATAAAGGAAGTAAGTGAGCCAACTGATTTCCCGTCACCTTAACAAAGTAAATATTTTTACCGAAACCATGTTGTTTCCTTAAACCAATCAAAGTCGCTCTGGTGCATAATCTTAACCCTGGGGTTGGCACATCAAAACGTGTTTTTATTGGACAAATACTGTTGTCCTGCCAACAAGGGAGGCACATTATATTACATTACATTTAGCTGACGCTTTTATCCAAAGCGACTTACAATAAGTGCATTCGACCAAGAAGATACAAACTTGAAGAAAACAGAATCATATAAGTACATCAGGTTTCATAGAGCCAAAACATTTCAAGTGCTACTCAACTGGCTTTAGATAAGCCAGTCCTTTATTAGTATATAAGTGCTTTGTTAATAATTCTATCGCTCGAAGTGGAGTCGAAAGAGATGAGTTTTCAGTCTGCGCCGAAAGATGTGCAAGCTATCTGCTGTCCTGATTTCAATGGGGAGCTCCCCATTGAAATCAGGACAGCAGATAGCTTGCACATCTTTCGGCGCAGACTGAAAACTCATCTCTTTCGACTCCACTTCGAGCGATAGAATTATTAACAANTGACATGAGTAAAGAAGTTTAGTCAGTACTTCTACTTTCACCAGAGTATTTTTAAACAAGAGTATCTGTACTTCTACTTGAGTAAAGGATGTGTGTACTTTTGCCATCTCTGACTATATCCAAGAACCATTGTACAGTAGTTTTTATATGCCTCTGTAATTTCCTAGCTTATTCCTTTATAGCTTTGGTACTCAACTGGTTCATTGGTACAAGTAATAATTTGCAATGCAATATGATGCAAAATCTGAAAATGTAAGGGGTGGGACATGCTAATGTACAGACCCCAAAACATATAGTGTTGCAGACTACTTTAACTTAGCTATACATTTAAAAGATTTGTTTGGCACAAAGTGAAAGTAACTTAATGTTTCATGTGTATCATACATTGTAATGCCTCCTAACCTTCTCACACTCACCATCTTGAATTGAACATTTTCAGAGAGTAAAAACTATGAATTAGCACGTTTCTGATTAGCTTACTTGTAGCCTAATCACTTCCACTCTTTGTGTCAGTTTCTAAGCATGTTTCTTACAACGTCATTTTATTTAACTCTTTCTTTATGAACATGGTTGTATGTTAAACTGAATGCAAGTTAATTTGAGTTAAAATAATTAAGTTAAATAACAGAACGGAACATTTAGCTAATATGCTAACCAGCTAACGGCGCTTTGGATAACTTTTCGCAAAAGAAACATAACAGCAGCGTTGATTTTATGAATAATACATTATATTTACACTGACCTAAATTAGATTTATCTTCTTACACCAATCATTTCAGCTACTTTTTGTTTCCTCTCATTTTGAGTTAAAATAATTAAGTTAAATAACAGAAATGTAATCCCTAACGGAACATGTAAGCTAATATGCTAGCCTGCTAACCGCGCTTTGGATAACTATTAGCAAAATAAACACAACAGCAGCGTTGATTGTACAAATTACACATTATATATACACTGACCTAAATGAGAAGCTCTTTACCTGAACATTATCTTCTTACACCAATAATTTCACCTATGCTCCGAATATCTGGAACAAACTCCCAGAAACCTGCAGGTCCGCTGCAACTCTCACTACTTTTAAATCCAGGCTGAAGACTTTTCTTTTTGCTGCTGTTTTAAATTGAACTATTCACATCTCACTGTAACTTGTATTCATGTATTTTGTCTTTTAAAACTGGGGTAGGTAATTTTGGAGAAACCAGCTCGAGTGCGCTAGAATTTGAAAATACACAACCAGAAGAAATCTGCCACTTCCTTACAGAGCCCCTCCTCCAACACACACGAACGCGCACATGACCAATGAGGGCACGAGATAAGTTTGTGCACAGATGGAAGGCTGACAGGCAGGTAGGCCATCCAGTTACTTTAGCCGGGCCGGCTCAGATGATTGGTCGTGCTTTTTACAGCGCCACGGCTTCCACAGATGATATGTTTTAATGTATTTTTTGTCAAAGCACTTAAGATATTCATTGCTATCGGGATGTTAAGAGCATTCCATGGAATATAACAACAAGTGTTTCTGAAATAAATGACATACCCCACCTTTAATGTTTATTTAATTATCTTTTCTTTTTAATGCCATTTTCTTAATGCCTTTCATTTTTGTAAAGCACTTTGAATTGCCTTGTGTTGACAAAGGTGCTATATAAATAAACTTGCCTTGCCTTACTAAAGTTATATCTTGCGTGTTTTTTGTTACCTGCAGAGTCCCTGTGGAGCACTCGTAGTTGTTCTGGCAGAAAAGGCCATACGGTTTTGCTGCTCATGATCTCCACAGCGGAGTCATGCGGGCCGTCCTCCTCGGAAGAGCGGGACGCTAACATCTGGACTCTGCTCAGACCTCACCTGAGGGGCCACGGACCTGCAACCACACACCTGGGAATCACAGACAGACAGACAGGACGCACAGACAGACCAGACAGACAGACAGACAGACAGACGGACAGACAGAGGAGAAGTCATTAGAAAAATAACCAAACAAGGACGATCTGGCCTCGAGCTTCATTAGCATTGATTATTTATCTGTTTTTATTGAGGTTGCATTGTTGGAGGAGCCTGGTGACCTAAGATTTTCATTATCATAACTACTTAGTNGTTCAAGATGCGAGTGCACCGGTTGAAAGAGTGCACATCGGCTACAGTTTGGGTGGAACTCGCGATGCATCGATTGTAGCGTCTTTGCATCGGAAAAAAACGATTAATTCGCCACTAAGGTGTCACGATTCTCATGTTATGTCACGATTATAGTTTTGTAGGTTTGGGTGTTTTTGCTGTTTTTCCATGTCATGTTTCCCTTTGGGTTATTGTCTTGTCATTAGTTTCCCTGGTGTGTCTAATTGTCTGATTATGTTCACCTGGGTCCCTGTGTTTTCTCCTCCCTCCTCACCTGTGTCTTGTTGTGTGATTGAGTCTTGTGTGTATTTAAGTTCTGGGTTGTCTGTCTGTTTTGGTCGGTTCGTCTTGTTCCCTGACTAGTTCTGCGGTGAGTGTTCTGTTTTTCATTGTACATATATCTCATAGCCTTGAAATAAAGGAAGTTTCAGTTTATATCTGCATTTGGGTCCTGCTTGTTTCACAAACCGTGACACATTTCTTGACCTAGTTTCTTTTTTTTCCCAATCTTGGTAAACAACTATACTC